TCTCAGCCCTCCTATCCACCAGGCGGCCGGATCTTCTTTCCAGGAGAGGAAGAACTTATAGTTGATGAGCCAGACGAGCAGGCAGATCACACCGATGACTGTGGTCAGCCGCTCGCCGAACTCATCTAGTTTTTTCTTCAAGGGTGTGTCGTCCTCTTCGGCTGCTGCTGCTGCAATCTGCTGCTGAATCTTGCCTATCTCTGTGTTCATGCCCGTGGCTATGACCAGATTGCGGCTGGACCCGTTCACCACTGTGGTGCCCGCAAATACCATGCTCTCCTTGGCCTGGAGAGATTATGAGGAAGGGAGCAAAATGAGAATGCGTGCAGTATGATGTTAGCCTGGGCATACTTCAAGGCAGCACAAAATACACGTGCAGGTTACGGCTGGAGCCATTCACCACTGTGGTTCCAGCGAACACCATGCTCTCCTTGGCCTGGCAGCATGGGGCGGAAGGGGAGATGGGGCACATAAGGGATGCCTACGCTGTGAGACAGGGCACAAGAGACAGCGCATCTGCTGCTGAATCTTGCCTATCTCTGTGTTCATGCCCGTGGCTATGACCAGGTTGCGGCTGGAGCCGTTCACCACTGTGGTGCCCGCAAACACCATGCTCTCCTTCGCCTGGAAGCATGGGGCGGAGAGGAGTTATGGGGCACACAAGGGGATGCGTACACTGCGAGACAGGGCAGGGCATGAGAGTCTAGATTGCCGATCTCTGTGTTCATGCCCGTGGCTATGACCAGGTTGCGGCTGGAGCCGTTCACCACTGTGGTTCCAGCGAACACCATGCTCTCCTTGGCCTGGCAGCGGGGGCGGAAGGGGAGATGGGGCACATAGGGGATGCGTACGCTGTGAGACAGGGCACAAGAGACAGCACATCTGCTGCTGGAGCCGTTGACCACAGTGGTGCCTGCAAACACCATGCTCTCCTTGGCATGGTGGGATGGGGAAGGAGGGCATGGGGATGCACGGTGTGAGACAAGGCACCTGCTGCTGGATCTTGCCTATCTCTGCCTTCATGCCCGTGGCTATGACCAGGTTGCAACTGGAGCCGTTGGCCACTGTGGTGCCCACAAACACCATGCTCTCCTTGGCCTGGAGGGATGGGAGGGAAGACAATGGATATGTGTACGGTGTGCTGTGAGACTAGGCACGAGGAAGCAGGAATGAGGTGCACGCACATTCAGATTATTAATGAAGTTAGGTGATTTCTGTGGTACGAGCAAACACCATGGCCTCCCCCTCAGACTCACTTGCTCTCCACCACTTGCCTCTACGCCTCATGACCTAGCTTGTGGGCCTTGCCCGAGCTATTGCTCTCTTGGCCGAGACACATCCTCGTGCCCTCCCTCACCTGTAGCTCGCAATCCTGCTGCTGAACTTCATTCGCCAGCTTCTGTGCTTGCATCACTTCTAAGCATATCTTGCTGCATGATTCCCACTCGCACTCACCTGCAACTCGCAGTCCGCCTGCTAAACCCCTTGCGCCAACTTCTGCGCTTGCTTGTATCAGTTAAGATAATTCTCAACAGTAACACAAGCATAGGCTGCAAGGCCCCTGCTCTCTCTCTGTCTCGCCCTCACCTGTAGCTCACAGTCCTGTTGCTGAACCTCATTCGCCGACTTCTGAACAGCCATGCTCTCGCCTGTCAGCGACGCCTGCTCCAGCCTCAGCGTGGAAGTGAGGAGGCTTATAACGCGCATGTCTGCAGGCACCTTGTCCCCCACCCGCAGCTCCACTATATCGCCCGGGACTAGCTCGCGCGCTGGCAGATCGTCCATGTGCTCGCCCGCCCTCACCACCTTGGCTGTCTCGGACTGGGAGGAGGGGGGCAGGGAAATGGGGAACGATGTAAGGGTTGAAATGGGTTGAAATGGGTTGAGAAGTTGACTCGTCGCAGCTCCACTATATCGCCAGGCACTAGCTCGCACGCTGGCAGGTCGGGCATGTGCTCGCCCGCCCTCACCACCTTGGCTGTCTCGGACTGGGAAAGAGAAGCCAAGGAAACAGGGGGAAAGAATGTAAGGTTACAGCGGTTGAGTGTCTGCAGGCACCTTGTCCCCCACCCGCAGCTCCACTATATCGCCCGGCACTAGCTCCCACGTTAAAGCGGGGAGGCTATTCACGCGCATGCCTCCCCACCCGCAGCTCCACTATATCGCCCGGTACTAGCTCTTGCGCTGGCAAATCGTCCATGTGCTCGCCCGCCCTCACCACCTTGGCTGTCTCGGACTGGGGGAGAGAAGTGAGGAGGGTGGGGACCGATTGATAAGGTTAGGCAGTGAAGCGATCACTAGGATTCACGAGCTGACAGCCGACACGAGCTGACAGCCATCACGAGCTCTCACGTTGGTCCGATGCCTCTGCTGTTTCGACCTGAGAAGAAAGGGCGATGTAAGATAGACAATAAGATGGTCGAGGAAACGAGGGGTAGTCTAAACCCGGAACCTCACTAATGCTTAAACCACCCCGAAATTCAGGGTTTATTGCAGCAGCGCTCGCATGTGACGAATCAACTACACAGTTGCAATTTTGTGAAGCCTGCCAGTATGTTCAAAACCCGCAGGTCGTAAAAATACCTACCTGCGTGTCTTTAAGCGACTCAAATGCCTACCTGCATGTCTTTAAGAGCCTCTAGCGCGCGCTCGGCGTTGCTCTCCTGCCACACGCCGACGCAGGCGTTGAGAATGAGGATGAGCAGAATGACCAGCGGTTCCACGTATGCCGTGATGCCGCCGTCCTCCTGAGAAACGACATGCGCAGTGGGGGAAGGGGGGCGGTAGGAGAGATAAAACAGCAACTTGTAGGATGAGCACGAGGATGAGCAGAATTACCAGCGGCTCCACGCACGCCGTGATGCCGCCGTCCTCCTGAAAACACAACACAACGAATGGGGTGGGGGGAGGGAAAGGGATCAAGCAGCAACTTGATAAGCACGAGGATGAGCAGGATGAGCAGCTGCTCCACGTACGCCGTGATGCTGCCGTCCTCCTGGAAATCAACACGAGGAATGGCGAGGCGGGAAGGGACGTGAAAGAATAAAGGAGGGGGAGATGCAGGACAGAAAGGAGATGCGGGGACGGTTGGGCGGAGGGGAGCACGGAAGGAGGGATGCACGGAGGAACGGACAACACAGGAGCACGGAACGTCATCGACGAAATGAACTGACGAAATGAAGAGGGAGATCGGCGAGATTCTGGCGAAAGGTACCAATGGAATGACGCGAGATGAGTCTGTACGAACAACGGAGTGTCGAATTGTAGAGGTACAGAAGGGTCGCGTGAAACGAGAGGGCCCGTACACGACGAATTCCATCTGACCGCGATCAGAAAAGGAACACATCGAAGCAGACGACACGTCCGATCCACTTGGCCCAGCATGTCTGTTCCAAGAATTTGGAATCGGATATCTCAAAAAGGGAAAACTTCTAGACACAATGAATGCTTTATCCGCTCACCTGATCGTCCACGTAGGCGAGGACGAACGAGACGGCAGCAGCGGCGAGAAGGATCTTCACAAGCGTGTCATTAAACTGATCTACAACCAGCTTCCGGAACGGCGTGCCTGATTCCTTCTATGACTCACCTGATCGTCCACGTAGGCGAGGACGAACGAGACGGCAGCAGCGGCGAGAAGGATCTTCACAAGCGTGTCATTAAACTGATCTACAACCAGCTTCCGGAACGGCGTGCCTGATTCCTTCTATGACTCACCTGCTCGTCCACGTAGGCGAGGACGAACGAGACGGCAGCGGCGGCGAGAAGGATCTTCACGAGCGTGTCGTTAAACTGATCTACAACCAGCTTCCAGAACGGCGTGCCCGGTTCCTTCTCCAGCTCGTTGAACCCGAATCGGCTTCGTCGCCAAGCGGCATCCTGGGGATCTAGACCCTTGTCTGCATCCACCTGGTACCGATCTAAACACTCCTGCACCGAATGCGACCACGCCGGGAACGTGCTTTCCGGTATGGATCCCAGATTTGGCGACATCGTTAACACGCGCGAGCGAGAACGAACGGTGTAGATCGGCCGTGAAGATGTGATCGCGCAAACGCAGACGGCAACCTGGCCGGCCGCGCGTACTCCTCAACTATCCGGTGAATCACGCCGTCAGGCTACGGCCTGCGACGTCCCTCCCGCGCTGTGCCTGGTGATCCTGTTCTCACTCACACTAGAACTGACATCATCCAAACAGCTTTGCATAGAACTTGGCTTTGGAGCTCATTTGTTTCACAACTTGAGCAGCCTTGGAAATTGGGGAACGAAGGCTGCTGCAAGCACGCAAGCAATCAAATTCCTCCAAGCCAAGCTATGGTGATCCGATCGGAGGCGGGTGCAAGGAAGGTGACTTTCTCGCCCAGCTAGAAAACGACAAGCCTCTAGGGAGTTACGTTTTCAGATTCTGACATGGACGTCCCAGATTTGTTGGAAGAGTCGCGGAGGAACAGATCGCGAAAGAGGCCTGTTGCGTGTTTCAATATCCTCTTTAATGACTGGTGAACTGAAGAAACTCATAATGTACGTAATCCTAAATTCACCTTAAATTTGAAATTATATCTCGTTCCTCACACTATGAAGTAAAAAAATGGTTATGTTATATGATTCATGTTTATGGACGGCCGTACAATGGTTGCAGGCCAAGTGCATCTCTCGAAACAAGCTTTTCCGCTTGACATAAAGCTTTCAAGCTTTCAAGCTTTTTTCATGCTATTGTAATTAATTATTCCTTATGTTTGGCTCCAAAGTTATATCAAAAGCTGACCTAGTGAAGCTGGACTACCTGGCTGGCAATGATGGCCAACTAAAAAGCTATATCCCCATTAATTGACAACACACGAGTTTCAAGGCACAATTGCTAAAATTTATGCAGTTTCAAGGGTTCTCCCACATTTAGACATGAAATTACCTATAAGGGAAGTAAGAACCAAAGCTTATGAAAGAAACAGAAGATCTTGAGTCCCTAAAGAAGAACACTCAGATCCGCCCTAGTGTGTGTTTCAAGCCTTGGGCTTGGAGGGAGGGCCCTCAACGGACTTGATGAGCTCTGCAGTCTTCTCCTGCACTTGGCTGACCACCGGCCCTGCCACCTCCTTCACCTTCTCCACTGACTCACCCACTTGGCTCACAACCGGCCCTGCAACGTCCTTCACCTTGTTCACCTGCTCCTCCACTTGCGACACCACAGGCTCGGTAAGCTCCTTCACCTTCTCCACTGCTTGCTCCGCCACAGGCTTGGCGGCTTCCAACGCTGCCTCGGCAACAGGCTTGGCGGCTTCCAGGGCTGCCTCAGCGACGGGCTTGGCGGCGTCGATCGCAGCTTCGGCGTATGGCTTGGCGGTTTCAGCGAATTCCTGAGTGGCCTCCCACGTCTGTTGTGGGCGATTGCATGGGGGAAGGGATGAGATGGGGAGCTCTTAGTTTGAAGGCAAGATAAGGCAGGTGGGTAAAAGCACTGATGGGGGCAGAACATTAGTTGTGCAGGATGTCAGCAGACACATGGCACATACTAGCACCATCAGCACCGTAACTTTCACATGTCACACCACCACACACATAGCACAAGGTAGCACACACCAACCACACGAGCGGCACAGGGGAGGGAGGAAAGGCATACCGCTTCAGCGAAGGGGATTACGACATGGTCCACCATGAGCACCACAATGTCCTTCACCTTCTTGTGTGGCGAGGCGACTTTTGAGTCGACAGCACACACATGGCACACGACAGCACGCCCATTGCACACGAGGGTTGAGAGAGGGGCGTACCGCTTCAGCGAAGGGGATGACGACGTCATCCACGATGGGCAGCACGAAGTCCTTCACCTCCTCCAGACCCTGCTCCCACAGAGACGAAAGGGGGAAACCGGGGGGGGGGGGGAAGTGTGATTGCGAGCCTGTGAGATGACTTGATCAGGCAAGACACATTGGCACCACGTCCCTCGCCTCCTCCAGCTTCTGCCCTATGGGGCCAGGGGGGATGAGAGGTGTGAGTGGACAGTGAGGGTTGGAGTGTGAGTGGACGGTGAGGGTTGAGGCATGAGCGGATACGGGTGAGGGTCGAGGTGTGGGGGCACAGGTGGAAGAGTTGAGGGGCGAGGGACGAGGGGCGAGGGTGAGTGGCAAGGGGTGGGAGGATTGCTTGGCAAAGACCGGGGGATGGGGCGAATGGAATACAACTGGGGGTGCCGCAACAGAAGCGGGGGCCTGCACATGTTTGAGTGGCTTGACCTCCTTCTCGCCTACTCGTTGCTCCTTGACCTATCCAAGAGATATCACACCAGCGCGGGCTGCATTTCCCTCACCTCCTCGATCTCCTTCCACTTCTCGTCCGGCAGCACAAAGAGCGCGGCAATGCCACCGCTAAACGCGGCGAGCACGCCAAACTGCGAGACGAAGAGCGGCATGCCGCCACGCTTGCTCTTCTTCTTCGCGTCCTGCTGCTGCTGCTGCTGCTGCTTCACGGGCGGGGCCACTGTGCTCGACGGCTTCAGCTCCGGCTGCAAGGAGAGGAGGGAACACGCGGGGGAAGAAGCAAGCAGCGGGGAGGGAGGAGTGGGTTAGACTGTAGAGGCGTTGAACATACGAATGGCGAAACGTGTATTTTTCATGGCTATATGAAACCGGAGCCTTAGATGCACAGGAGAAGATTACCAGACAGCGCTCAGACAGTAATTTCATTCGTCTTAGTGGAAGGCATTACACTCGTCGTGACATATATGGATATCTGGTGGTTGTACTGGGAGTGTCTGAGCCTTTGGGGGAAGGGGCCCTTGACGCGTCAACCACTCTGGCTTTCAACTCGCGAGAAATTGCCGTTCCAACGGGAAACAAGCGAGATACTTTCCGCAGCGGCATCCGCACAGGACAGTATTCAGAGTCGCGGTAGGTAGATCAGTTGCCAATCCTATCCCACGCTTCGCCTAATCCATGGAAGCGCGTCAACGTGGCAACTTCATTTCGCTCGTTACCAACCAACCCCACCGTGCACGCTCAGGACTCAAAGACAGACAATCTTCATTCTGCGCCACTCACCTTAACGAATAGCCTCTGCGCCTGGATCTTCTCCTCCGCGAATCTCCGCGCGGCTTCCTCCTCCGCCGCCTTCTTCTCCGCCTCCGCGCGCGCCGCAGCCGCGATCGCCTCCTGCTCCTCGCGCTTCTTGCGCAGCAGCTCGCCGAGCCGCCGAGCTCGCTCCTCAGGCTGGCGAAAGGAAAAACGCGAAAGACGAAAGAACACACATCACTTTAGGCGACAGTGGAAGATCGAGTACACGCGATCCGATACACGCCTCGTCAAATGCATGATTTCCTACTCGACGATTTTGTTGACGACGCCAACGAGCCAGGGAATGATGAGCATGAGTAGAAACGACCGGCATTGCACAAGCGTTAACAGACAGAGGTGAAGGTGTGATATCGATTGAGTGTAGTTTGAATGCTTACTGTGTTTACAGCGGCCTCATCCACAACAGCGACCTCCTGTACAAGCACGAAAGGGAAGCACGCATGGAAATCGGCGTTAAACTCATTGGTTTCGAGGGTGAGAATGGGCTTAGGTGATTGGGGTGGGGACGTCGACAGGGTCCAATGGGAATTCACGTAGCACGGAGGAGGGACACGGCTGGATCACATCTTGGAAACTGAAAGGTAGCGGCCCATGAAATCTAGAATAATTCCAGGAGAAATGAAGCGGCCGTATGGAAGAATGCAGGCGAAGCAAGTTTCGTGGATGATGTACCTCTGCTTGAGCGGCGGCGACGCCACCGGTGAGGAGATAGCTCTGCATGGCGTCAGCTGTAGGCGCGACACCCATCACAGTCGCGGCTGCCAGGAAACCGAGAGCGGGGAAACAGGACGATGCGAATATTCAGGGGATTTGTGAGTTTGTAAGCTACATTCCCTACATTCTCAGTAGCCATAAAGCTAGCACGCTTGAAAGAAATGGACAAGTCTGGGAAAAAAACTAGGCCTTTGATGCTGGTAACTCACCGAAGATCGCGGAGGACAGAGCGGGAACGACGGCTCTAGCGAGCTGAGCCGCGAAGTTGGGCGAGGCATTCTTATTGTCGCCATCGGCACGGCATGACACGCTCGTCGTGACGGCCTTTCTGGCGGGAGCGGCGATGGAGACGGTCACTGGTTGGCCCTTGAACACCGTCTGATTGGCGAGGGCAAGCCGGGAATCGACGGCTAGAGAAGCGGAGGTGTTAAGAGCCGACATGGTTGCGTGCGGTGCAATGCGATGGACGCAGCTGTATCAAGTGGAATCGCTAAGGGAATGGCGGCAACCAAGTGACTAGAAGGAGAATGGCTGGTGAGCAAAACCTTGAAGCAGCAGAGGCTGGGATTCCGAGACCAGAGAAATAGTCAGGCACGGCAGTCCCTAGGGACAGCTGCTAGTCAGATCAGGTGCTCAAACTTCCTGAAGCGCGGAAATTTGGGAATTTTTGTGTCATGGCATTTCCAGCGCTGAACTGGTGGTGCTGGTGATGGGTTGAGCTCATAGGGGCTCATCTACGGCAATGCTGCGTTGGCGGAGGCAATCTTCAAAATTCGACGGGCACGATTCCAACGTAAGCAGTAAAAAGCTGATAACTGGTGCCACGCGGAGTGGAGATTGGGCGGATGGTCCTTCAACCTTGGAAGCTCCCCACAGAATCTCTCCAGGGTGACTTGGCAGCTCCTGGAAACACTGATGAGTCCAGCGTGGCGTCGGCTTCTTGTCTGGCACCCGCGAGAGACATGTACTGAATTGACGTTTGGTTTACAACAGTATAACGGCCTCAACTACACGAACACAACCTTGTCCTAAAAACGATTGGCAATAAATACCCAATGACTGTAATTCACAACACAGCACACTTATGTACTACCAGCCCAGGAGACTACATTCAGCCAAAGAAATCAGACTCGTCCTTCCAGATATTTTGGTGCATTGCCGATGGCGTGATAACTTCTTGATCATATGGAATCACCTGGTAGCCGGAAAAAAGATTGGGAGCACACGGAAAAGCAGAAATTGCAATTAGTCAAGACATGCAGAATGCAATGCACCAAAACAATGAATGATCATTTCAGCGTAAAAATATGGGCAGCGCACCATAAAATCTTCTAAAAACGACAGCGCACCACATCATGTTCTCACCTCGACTCCTCCCCACAACATTCGCTTGCCGCTAGTGCTTCCAAATCCACCATCCAACTGTTTCCTGCCTCCATGCCCGTCATCAGCCAATCGCCTGCTCCCATGCCCATCATCAGCTAATCTCCTGCTTCCATGGCCATCATCGGCCAATCGCCTGCTCCTAGGACCAACCCCAGCCATTGAAGATCCTGCTGCTGCAGCAGCGTCACCTGCAGCAGGGGAGATCAAACTACCAAACCCCTCATCAGCCAATCGCCTGCTTCTCGAGCCCAGCCCAGCAAGAGGACTAGCAGCTGCAGCAGGAGAAGCAGCAGAAGCAGCACCAGCAGCAGGAGAGCCAGCAGTAACAGCAGCAGAGGGGGAGAACAAGCTATCAAACCCCTCATCAGCCAATCGCCGGCTTCTAGAGCCGAGCGCGCCAAAAGAAGGACTGGGAGCAGCACGCCGGTCAGCAGCATCAACAAAAGTAGGCGCAGCAGGAACAGCAGCAGGGGCGGAAAGGGACATGCCGAACTCATCGTCCTGTAGTCGCCGCCCTCTCTGTCGCCCATCCACCATGCGCCCCCTGGGTGTAGGAACTGGTGCTCCGCTTGGGCCTATCACAGCGCTCGGGCCTGCCGCACCTGCAGCTGCCAAACCCGCACCTGCCACCGCCACACCTGCAGCTGCCAAGCCTGCCACCGCCACACCTGCAGCTGCCGAGCCTGCCACCGCCGCACCTGCAGCTGCCGAGCCTGCAGCTGCCCCACCCTCAGGTGCCTTACCAGCAGCAGCAGCAGCAGCAGCAGGAGGAGGAGGAGCAGCAGAGTCAGGAGCAGCTGCAATGCTGTCACTCCCACCAACACCAGGAGCAGCAGCAGAAGCAGTCGCAGCAGGTGTGGCAGCAGGTGCTACAACTGTAGGAGCAGCTGTAGCAGGAGAGGCAGCAGCATGCGCCTCTAGTCCGAAGGGAGGGGTGGCGATGCCATCACTGTCATCCCACAGCCGCCTGCCGCTAGCCCTGCCCTTGCCATGCAAGGCCTGCCCTTGGGCTTGCCCCGTGCCCCTCTCCCTGCTGCCTGCTGCCTGTGCTGCAGCAGGAGCAGTGGCAGTAGTGAGAGCAGCGGCAGCAATGGGTGCAGTGGGTGCTGCAGTGGGTGCTGCACTGGGTGCTGCAGTGGGTGCTGCAGTGGGTGCTGCAGTGGGTGCTGCAGTGGGTGCTGCAGTGGGTGCTGCACTGGGTGCTGCAGTGGGTGCTGCAGTGGGTGCTGCAGTGGGTGCTGCAGTGGGTGCTGCAGTGGGTGCTGCAGTGGGTGCTGCAGTGGGTGCAGTGGGTACAGTGGGTGCGGTTGGTGTGGTGGGTGCAGTGGGTGCAACGCTGAGAGGAGGGAGCACAGAGACAGCAGGCTCAGCAGGAGAGCACGAGGCAGATGGAGCAGCAACAGGGGCATGAGAAGGGATAGCCGCGTCAGTGGCCAGGTTTTGAGTAGGCTCATAAGCAGCAGCGGGGGATGAAGCAGGGGCAAAGGCAGGGGCAGAAGTAGGGGAAGAATCAGGGACAGAAGTAGGGGCAGCAGCAGTGGCAGAATTAGAGGCAGACGCAGGGGCAGCAGCAGGGGCAGAAGCACCGGCCGTAGCAGGGGCAGAAGCACCGGCAGCAGCAGGGACAGGGGCAGAAGCAGGGGCAGAAGCAAGATCGACAGCAGGGGTAGATGCAAAGGAAACCGCAGGGGCAGCAGCAAGGGTGACAGCAGCAGCAGCAGCAGACGCATCGGATTTCTGAGGCGCCTCAAGAGTTGGAGGTGCAGCGCCAGCAGAAGGGCGACTAGAAGTGGTGCTGCTTCCCACAGGGGTTGTGGGTGGGCGCAGGGCCTGCGAGTGGCGCTGCTGCTGCTGCTGCAGCTGCAGCTGCAGCTGCCTGTGCGGTGGGCCCTGAGAAGCAATGGGTGGTGTGCGTGGCCTGAGGGACTGCTGAGACGTCACAGAATGAGCAACGGGTGGGGTGCGGGGCCTTAACTGAGCCTGAGACGCGTCAGAATGAGCTACAGGTGGGGTGCGTGGCCTCAGCTGAGAGGTGTCAGCATGAGCAACGGGTGGGGTGCGGGGGCGGAGCGAGTCTGGCAGGCCAGCAGCTGCCATGACAAAGGCACGAGGAGTCATGGGCAGCCATGACAGCATGCCCCCTGCTGCTCCCCCTCCCCCTCCCACTCCCGCTCCCGCTACCCCTCCCGCTCCCGCTCCCCCTCCCGCTCCTCCTGCTGCCGCTGCTCCTCCTTCTCCTGCTCCTGCTGCTGCTGCTGCTGCTGCTGCTGACATATCTGGCTCGTGGGCTGGCCATATACTCAGCCCACTAGGACGCGGTTTAGCAGCAGGAGCGGCAGTAGCAGTAGCAGGAGGAGGCGCAGCAGCAGTGTCACCTGCGCTATCAACAGCAGCAACGGCAGCAGCAGCAGGGCCACCAGAAGGACCCATACCCCACCACCCACTGCCCGTCCCACAGCTGCTCCTAGCAGCCGCCACTCTCACTGCCCTATCCTTCCCCTCCTCCCCCTCCTTCACACCAGCCACTGCACTTGGCTCGGCAGCGGCCTGGCCAGCAGCTTCGGCAGCAGCCTCGGCAGTAGCTGCGGCGGCAGCTTCGGCGGCGGAGCGAGCGACTGCCAGCTGGCGGCGGTTGACTCGCAGGCGCTGCTGCAGGCTGTGGTGCTGCCGCTCCCTCTCCTGCAGCCGCTGCCTGTAGCTGCTGAGAACCTGCGTGGGTTGGGGGAAGAGGGAGCATGTGGGAGGGGCAACAGGGGGTATAAGGGGGAAAAGAAGAGACTGAGTGGGCGTTGCTGCAGGCTGTGGTGCTGCCGCTCCCTCTCCTGCAGCCGCTGCCTGTAGCTGCTGAGAACCTGCGAGTGGGGGAGAGGCAACAAGGGGGATGAGTGTGGGAGAGGAGACTGAGTGAGTGGGATGTGCTGCACGCGGTGGTGCTGCCACTCCCCCTCCTGCAAACGCTGCCTGCAGCAGGTGGGGACAAGGCAGTGTCTATTCAAACGGTCTATTAGCGCGGTCTATTAGCACGGTCTATTAGCACGGTCTATTAGCAGCACGATCTATTAGCAGCATGGTCTATTAGCAGCACGGTCTATTAGTACGGTCTATTAGCAGCACAGTCTATTAGCTCGGTCTATTAGCACGGTCTATTAGCAGAACGGTCTATTAGCAGAACGGTCTATTAGCAGCACGGTCTATTAGCAGCACGGTCTACTAGCACGGTCTATTAGCACGGTCTATTAGCAGCACGGTCTATTAGCAGCACGGTCTATTAGCTCGGTCTATTAGCACGGTCTATTAGCAGAACGGTCTATTAGCAGAACGGTCTATTAGCAGCACGGTCTATTAGCAGCACGGTCTATTAGCAGCACGGTCTATTAGCACGGTCTATTAGCAGCACGGTCTATTAGCACGGTCTATTAGCACGGTCTATTAGCAGCACGGCCTATTAGCGCGGTCTATTAGCAGCACGGTCTATTAGCACGGTCTATTAGCACGGTCTATTAGCACGGTCTATTAGCAGCACGGTCTATTCGCACGGTCTATTAGCACGGTCTATTAGCAACACGGTCTATTAGCACGGTCTATTAGCAGCACGGTCTATTAGCACGGTCTATTAGCAGCACGGTCTATTAGCATGGTCTATTAGCAGCACGGTCTATTAGCACGGTCTATCAGCAGCACGGTCTATTAGCACGGTCTATTAGCAGCACGGTCTATTCGCACGGTCTATTAGCACGGTCTATTAGCAGCACGAACTCGGATGGTGTCTCGGATGGTATCTCGGATGGCGTTTCGGATGGTGTCTCGTACGGTGTCTCGTATGGTGTCTCGGATGGTGTCTCGGATGGTGTCTCGGATGGTGTCTCGGATCTAAGTTGCAAAAAACGCTAGAGACCCTTTGCGTTTAGCGGATATACGCTGGCGTTTACACACTAAACGCTAAACACCAGCAAATACGCTAAACGCTGGCAAATATTTTTTTGGGGCAGCCCGACCTTAAAAAATTGTGGACTAACACCCTAGATTCCCCCCCTATAATCGCCCTGGCGGTAGGAGAGTATTATGTAGTAATGTGTGTAGGAGTTGCAATCTTTTTATGGGGAAAAAATATTACCTCTGAAACATAACACCCTAGATTCCCCCCTGTAATAGCCCTGGCGGTTCTTTTTGCCCTGCCCGGGGAAGTTTTTTCCCTGCCCAAAAAAGCGTATGTTCAAATTGCCCCCTAAGCGGATAGCGTATATACGCTAGCGTATATACGATAAGCGTATATACGCTATAAGCGTATTTTGCAACTTAGTCTCGGATGGTGCCTCGGATGGTGTCTTGTATGGTGTCTCGGATGGTGTCTTGTATGGTGTCTCGTATGGTGTCTCGGATGGTGTCTCGTATGGTTTCTCGGATGGTGTCTCGTATGGTGTTACCTGTTGTGCCTCCACCTGTCGCTACATCTGACGGGCCTAAGAAAAAAGCCTTACCTGCTGTGCGTCCATCAGTCGCTGCTCCCCATCTTCCACAGCCTGCTGCAACAACCCCGCCTCTCCCCCCTCTCCCCCTCCCTCCCCTGCTCCCCTCCCATCCCCACGTTCCTGCAGGTCTCTCAAGAGGAACGCCATGGTGTCTCGGATAGCAGCCACCTGCCCTTCAACGTCCAGCACCACTTGTTGCTGCTGAGAAAGGTCTTACCTGTTGTGCCTCCACCTGTCGCTACATCTGACGAGCCTAAGAAAGAAGCCTTACCTGCTGTGCCGCCATCAGTCGCTGCTCCCCGTCTTCCACAGCTTGCTCCAGTAACCCCGCCTCTCCTCCCTCTCCCCCACGTTCCTGCAAGTCTCTCAGGAGGAACGCCATGGTGTCTCGAACAGCAGCCACCTGCCCTTCCACATCTAACACCACTTGCTGCTGCACGCCCACCCGCCTCGCCTCCTGTGCTGCCTCCTCTGCCACCTCCTCTGCCTGCTGCAGCAGCGCCTGCTCCTGCCGCTGCAGCAGCACCACCTGGTGCTCTAGAGCTGCCTGCTGCTGCTGCAGCTGCTGCACCTGCTTACGCCGCTCCTGCCGCTCCTGCCGCTTCTGCCGCTGCTGCTGCTGCTGCTGCTGCTGCTGCTGCTGCTGTTCAGTAGCAGAGAGCGATTTGGGCAAGGGGGTCTGAGCAGCAGTGGCAGGTGGCGCACCAGCAGAGAGCGATTTGGCCAAGAGGTTCGGACCTGCGGTGGCAGCTGCTGCAGCTGGTGGGGTGGCTTGAGTCGCACCTAGTGGGGCGTGCGCAATGGGGCTTTTAGGTGGCAGCACTGCCACACCAGACGCAGCAGCCCTGACTGCAGCTGCACTGCCAGACGCTTCACTGTCAGATGCCGCCACACTCGATGGGTCAAGCTGTGCTGCTGAAGCATCTGATTGTACACCAGTTTCTGCCTCAGTCCTCACTGCCTTCGCCTCCTTGTCCCCTTCTGCACCTGCCCCACTCGCTGCCCCTCCTGCGGACTTTTCTTCCTCTAATGCTGCAACTCCTGCTGCATCTGTGGTTGATCCGTCCTCTCCTTTCTTTCGCCCATCCATGATCTCGCCATCTCTCTCTTCCTTTCCTTCTCCCTCCACCGCTCCGGTACCCTCTCCCTCTTCCACCACCACCAGTTCAGGCAAGTCAACAGGAGCAGCCACCACTGTCACCCCATCCACCTCCTTCTCCCCATCCCTCTCCCCCTCCCTCTCTGCACCAGCAACAGTCGCTGCGGCGCCGCTGCCACGAGTGGCAAGAGCAGCAGGGGAGAGGCTGGGGGCGGGAGAGGTGAGAGACGGGGAGTGCGAGAATGCAGGCTTGTGGGAGGGAGGCGCGGTGGTGGAGGAGGAACGGGCGAAAGGGGGCAGATTAGAAGTGAAGGGGGAGGCTTGGGTGAGTGACGAGTAGGGAGAGGAGTTGGGAAGGGAGGAGTAGGGAGACGGGTGGGAGAGGGAGGAGAAGGGGGAGGGGGAGAGGAGTGAGGAGCTACGGGTCATTCGAATGATGGGCGAGCGCATGGGTGTGAGCGGCACTGTGAGGAAGGTGGACGGATCCTCATCGTCTGCAGCTTCATCCTCTAGGGTTCCATTCTCTGGAATCCCACTGCTTGACTTGCTCCCGGGGACTGCTGCGCCTGCTTCCGAGTCCCGAGGCGCCTCAGGGGTGGAGCTAATGACTGGTGTGGCGGCTTCTGTGGGAATCGACAGGGCTGGCGACTTTGCTGCTGCGGCTGCTGCTGCTGCTTCAGGTGCAGCTGGTAGTACGTCAGAGTGCGTCGCCTTAGCCTCAGCAGCCAGCTCTTGAGCTGGTTGCTTTCCACCAGCAGCAACACTGCCAGCAGCAGCAGCAGCAGCAGCAGCAGCGGAGGCTGCGGTGTCAGAGGCAGCACTATCAGCAGCAGCACCCACGACCAGGCTCGGCCGTTCCTTCACACCCCCCACGCCTATCTCTTTCACCGCAGCTGCCCGTGCCCGAGCCTCCACCGCCCCAACCAGAACCTTCAGATCGTCCCGAACCTGCGCCAGGTCCCTAGGGGTGTGCCCTGTAGTCGTAGACATACCACCTCCCCCAGTCCCACCTCCCTCACCCCCCACGCCTTTCCCTCCCCCGCCCGCCCCCTGCCGCCGCACCGGCTCCACCCCCTGCTGCCGCATAAACAGCCGAATCTCGCCGAACACAGACGAGAGATGGCGCTCCACCTCCCACTCGCGCATCTCAGCCTCGGCTCGTGCTGTAGCGGACAGAACAGCCTCGGCAGCGGCAGCAGCGTCTTCACTGCGCTCCACAGCCCGCTGGGCCAGCTGCAGCAACACGTGAATGAACACTGCCTGGTGCCGCCACACCTCCACCTGCTGCCCCTGCCCCTGCCCCTGCCCCTGCCCCTGCCCCTGCCCCTGCCCCTGCCCCTGCCCCTGCCCCTGCCCCTGCCCCTGCCCCTGCCCCTGCTGCCCTTGCCCCTGCCCCTGCTGCCCCTGCTGCTGCTGCTGCTGCCCCTGCCCCTGCTGCCCCTGCTGCTGCTGCTGCCCTTGCTGCGCCAGCTGCCTATGGCGCTGTGCCTTACTCTGGCTGTCCTGCGGTGACTCCCTGCCTGGCTGAGGACTCAAAGGGCTAGGACCCGCCCCTGCCTTGCTGCTGCCTCTGGGACTGTTGAAACCGCTGCCTCCGCCTCTGCCTCCCCTAGGGCTGCTCAAACCGCTGCCTCCAGCTCGCCCCCCCCCTCTGGGGCTGCTGAAACTGTCGCTGGGACTTGCCCGCTCGCCTGCCTCTGCTGCCCGCTCCTCACCCGTCAGAACTATGCCAAACGGCCTGTGAACCACCACGCCCAGCCGTCTCAGTACCTCCTTCGCCTCTGAACCAGAACCAGCTGGAGCTGCAGCACCACCTGCAGCAGCAGCACCAGCCGTGGCAGAGGCAGCAGCAGCAGCAGCAGCAGCAGGAGCAGACTGACTGGCCAGCCCACCAGTAAGCCAGCTCAGCATGCCACTCATCCCCCCACTCCCCCCGCTCCCCCCACGCCCTCCCCCGCGTGGACTGCCAGAGCCAGCCAATGCCACCCGGGCGGCCTGCGCAGTGGCAGCAGCAGCCGCAGCCCGGGCGGCAGCCAGCTCGTCAGCCAGCTCACTCGCCCCCATCTGCTCCAGCAGGGCCGCGCGCATTGACTTGCCGCCCACGGGCTTACCCTGCTGGTTACCACTAGTGGCAGCAGTGCTGGCACTGGCGGCAGTACCAGCAGCAGCTGCGGTAGTGGCATTGCTGGCAGTGCTGGCAGCAGTGGTAGTGGTGCTGCCTGTGCTGCGATCCGTAGTGACTGCAGAAGCAGCATCACCGGTGGTGGCAGCGTGTGTGTCAGGGGAATGTGCAGCGGCGGTGGAAGGGAGAGAGGGAGAGGAGGCGTCGACAAACCCAACAAGGCGAGAGCCGGAGGGGCGGGCGGGGCGAGAGAGGGAGGCATGAGAGGTGGCGGGAAGAGAGGATTCGGTGGAGGGCATAGCAGAGGAGACAGGACCAGCTGCATCAGGAGAAGCCGAGGTAGTTGACTCAGATGAACCGGCACCTGCAAAAGGAGAGAGGGCAGCTGCAGCTGCAGCACCAGCTGGGGCAGCAGCCACAGTAGCAACAGAGGCGGAAGCAGCAGTGGGAGCAACAGCAGAAGTGGCAGGAGGAGGCGGGGGAGGAAGGTTGGAAGCGGGAGGGAGCACGCCAGGGCTGGCAGCAGGAGAGGCCCCCACCGCCCTGGCTCTAGCAGCAGCAAGCGTCCCTGTGCCTGCAAACGCAGCAGCCACCGCAGCAGCCGCCGTGGCACTGAACGAGCCTGACCGAGAAATCCGGTGCCCAGGCTTCCCAACCTGCCCGACCTGCCCGGGCTGCCCGCGGGAGGGGCAGGAGGAGGGCGTGGGGGCGGGCGAGATGGCGGCTGCTTCCAGGCGGCGCTTGATCTCGGGGAGCTTGGTGCCCAGGAAATCAGATTCCATGTCTGGGCTGTCTGCAAGAAGGGCGGGGTTAAGTGGCCCTTGCTGCTGCTGCTGCTGTTGCTGGAACTTGAAGGAGGAGGAGCCGCTGGGAATCCGCCTGTGAAAGGCTGACACGTCGGATTGGCCTCTCCTGAGGTACGGCCCTCCTGCTGCTGCCGCCGCCGCCGCCGCTGCTGCCGGCTCCAGCCCCCCAGGGGGAGACACCACAGCCTGCCCCAACTCATTCGTAACCTGGTAACCAGCCGCTGCTAAGGTGTTCTCCCCAGCAGCGGCACCAGCGCTGTTGAGCTGCCTCTCAAGCTGCACGAGCGCCCTGACGGCCTCCTGGCGGCGCTGCCACTCCTGCTCCGCCACCATGCCCGCCTCCGCTGCCAGCTCCTGCTCCCTCAATAGCTCGTTTACTAGCTCTTCCAACTCTAGCTCCAGGCCTTGCTTCTCCCCTTCGAGCTCCACCACTCGCCTGCTCAGCACACAGGGGGGAGGAGGGGTTACAGAGGAGGGGAAGGAGGAGGGAAGTGACAACAGTAAAGGAAGAGAGGGAGCTTCAGAGTGATTTCACCTCCGCCTGCCTGCCACCTTGCCTACCTACCTCCTCTCGATCTGCCTCAGCTTCTCGACTCAAAACTCACTACATATCACTCACCTGATCGTGTCCTCTCGAGTCTGCCTCAGGTCGCTGATCTCAGCATCTGCCTGATTCACTCTCACCCTTACATCTGGCATCGTATCTACCTGACTGACCTGCTTTACTCTCTTGCAATCCCATGTCATGCCATCTCGCTCACTCACCTGATGGTATCCTCGCGAGTCTGCCTCAGGTCGCTGATCTCAGCATCGTATGTAGCAAGCTGACCTGCTATACTCTCGGGATCGCATGTCCTGTCCTCTCGCTAACCTGATGGTGTCCTCGCGAGTCTGCCTCAGATCGCTGATCTCAGCATCTGCCTGTTTCACTCTCACCTTTACATCTGGCATCGTCTCTACCTAACTGACCTGCTGTACTCTTGCAATCTCATGCCATCTTGCTCACTCACCTGATGGTGTCCTCGCGAGTCTGCCTCAGGTCGCTGATCTCAGCATCGGCCGCCCGCTTTGCCGCCCGCAGGCTCTTCAGCTCGCCCACCGCCACCTCCAGCTTGTGCTGCAGCACCGCCACGTCAGCAGGCAGCTGCGAGACCGCCACGTCAGCAGGGACAGCACCAGACCTCTCCTCTTCGTCAGCGGACGCGGATGGCAGGACCTGAGATTCTGGCATGAGAGCCTTCAGCCTTTCCTCTAGCTCTCTGATCCTCCCCTCTCTCCTCCCCACCTCCTCCTGCATCACCTCCTCCCACTTCCTCTCCATCTCCCTCCTCTCCTCCTCCCACTCGCCCCTCTCTCCCTCCCTCCTCGCCTTCTCCCTCTCATCTCTGCTCTTCTCCTCCTGAGCCCCCTGCTCCAGCCTCCCCTCCATCTCTCTCACATGCGATTCCGCAGCAGCTGCTCTCCCTTCTGCCTCACCCACTCTCTGTTCCAACTCAGCCCTCCTCCTGCCTTCTTCACTCACAGTCCCTTCTGCTTCACGCACCTTCTCCTCCAACTCAACCACCTTTTGTTCCAAATCAACCGCTCTCTCTTCCAACTCAACCACCTTCTTTTCAGCTGCAACCGCCCGTGCCTCTGCCTCTGCAGCTCTCTCCTCCGCCTCTCGCCTACCCCTCTCCGCCTCCCCCCTCTCCTGCTCCACCTGAACCGCCCTCTTCTCCCCCTCCTCTCGCTCCCTCACAGCCTTCTCTGCCCGCTCACTCGCCTCCACCAGTGCAGCCTCTGCAACTCTCACCTGCTCCTCAAGCTCCTTCACTCGGGCCTCTAGGCTCGCCTCTCTCTCCCTCCTCTTCCTCCTCTCGCCCCGCTCGCTCCTCTCCTCCTCCCCACTACCTCCCACCACACCTCCTTCCGCCTCCCCGGCTGCAGCAGCGCCAGTTCTGGCGGTCTCAAGGCTTGCCTCAGCAGCTTCTCTGCGACTCTGCTCTTCTCCTCGCTGCCTCTCCTCCTCCTCGCACTTCCCCTGCCACTCCGCCACTTCTGCTCGTAATGCCTTTTGAGTCGACTCGAAGGTTCTCTCGCCCTCCTCGCACCGGCCCTGCCACCGGGCCAGCTCGGCCCGAAGTGACTCCACCTCCACCCGCATCTCCTCCAACGCCTCCTTCTGCACACACTCGCGCACACACACGCATGCGCACACACATGCGCAGACGCGAGCGCACACACACCCCCGGGCCAGAACCACCGCTGAGCATTAAGCAGGAGAAGCAGCATTGAGTAAGCCAGCAGCCAAGGGGAGCATGGGAGCGGGCGGCAGTGGGAATGGCGGCAGGTACACAAGGAGGCAGGGAGGTATGGGAAGTGACGTAGTTGAAGAGAAGAAGAAGAGGGATAGGAAGACACATGCAGAGCAGAGGGTACAGAGAAGAAGAGGCCTACTCTTGAGGACTTCTTTCCCTCTTTGCCTTCCTTGTGTTCCTTATGCTCCTTATGCTCCTTCCCCTCCTTATGCTCCCTCCCCTCCTTATGCTCTTTTGATTTCTTTGACTTGTGAGCGCGCTCCTCCTTCCCCGCGCTCTGCCATCATAGCCCACATGGATGCACAGGGGGCAATGGGCATGACACAACAGACAACCGCTCATCAGCCATGCGACAAAACACACACTCAAGACGGCAGCAGACAGACAGCAGTAAGAGGTTGTTGGGCCTGCCTTCGCAGCAGCAGAAGCGCATGCAGCAGCACACCTGCAGAGCGGATGGGGATGGCAGCTGCACCTGCTCCGCCCCTGCCTCCCCAGCCCCAGCTCCAGCAGCAGCACCGCCACCAGCAGCAGCCGCAGCTGCTGCAGCTCTGGAACGCCGCTTGGGAGTGGAGGAGGCGGAAGAGGCGGAGGAGGAGGGGGACGAGGGGAGCGCAGGCGCGCTGGCGGCCCCCCCAGTGGCGGAGAAGGGGAGGGCGCAGCTGGAGGAGCGGTTGAGGGGGAGCGAGGAGGGGCTGGAGGGGGAGGCGCGGAGGGTGGCGAGGGGCGAGGACGGGCCTGAGGGGTCCTTGGTGCTCTGGCGGGAGAAGACATGGGGGAATGGGGGGGTGGAGATGGGTGGAGATGGGTGGTGATGGGGGGAGGCGCGGAGGGCGGCGAGGGGGGAGGATGGCCCTGAGGGGTCCTTGGTGCTCTGGCGGGAGAAGACATGGGGGAATGGGGGGGTGGAGATGGGTGGAGATGGGTGGTGATGGGGGGAGGCGCGGAGGGCGGCGAGGGGGGAGGATGGCCCTGAGGGGTCCTTGGTGCTCTGGCGGGGGGAGACAAGGGGGGGATGAGGGGGGGAGATGATTGAAGAAGGGTGGTGATGAGGGGAGGCGCGGTGGGTGGCGAGGGGGGAAGACGGCCCTGAAGGGTCCTTGGTGCTCTGGCGGGGGAGACATGGGGGATGGGGGGATGGGGAGACATGGGGGATGGGGGGGTGTGGATTGGTGGAGATGGGTGGTGATGAGAGGAGGCGCGGTGGGTGGCGAGGGGGGAGGACGGCCTTGAGGGGTCCTTGGTGCTCTGGAGTGGAGAACATGGGGTAATGGAGGGGTGGAGATGGGTAGAGATGGGTGGAAATGGAGAAGGCGTTTTGGATGGTGCGTCTTTGTCACGCCACCACGCATGGGACATCATACCACCATCTACCCCTCCAACCCTCAAAAACCCTCTCCCAAAATTCATGCTTTTCCTTCACCTCCCCCCTCATCCTCTCTCCTCCCCCTCCCTTTTCCCGCTCCAGCCCGGCGCTCGCTTCCCCCCAAACACGACCACCCCCCCCCCCCCCCCCCCCCCCCCCATCTTCGTGCTACGAGCGCACATGTTTGTGCCTCTGAAAGCGCGCCATCAGCTCCGACACCTCCCACTATCCTTCCCCCCTTCCCTCCCCCCCCCCCCTCCCCCACGCCCTGCCCTGCCCCCCCACACTCTCTCTCCTCCCCTCCGCGTTAAGTCCCCCACACCCTACCCGCGCAATGAGCGCACCTGCTTGTGCCTCTGAAAGCGCGCCATCAGCTCCGACACCTCCCCGCCCCCTTCCGCGGGGGGTTTCCGCCGCCCGCCCGCCGACATGGGCCGACTCACGCTCTGGTCGCCCTGCGACACGGGGCGACCCTCGCCCTGGTCGCCCTGCGACGTGTGAGGGGTATGCGGGAAGTGAGGGGTGGGTGAAGCGAGAATGAAAATTGGAGTGACGGTAACGAGTGGGTGTGAGGTGTGGGGTAACCAAGTTGACCGCGAAATTGACGGTAACGAGTGCGCATGCCATGCCTGTACATCATGCAGCGGTTCGCTGACGAACGGAGAATTAAGAGCAGACGGATAATTACGGCTGGAAGGGCGCGCAATGGGACATGGAGAGTCAAAGACTTCAACATTAAGTTGTTTATCTCCACAAAGGTTTTTTGAAGGTAGCGGAAGGATAATCCCCGTTGTGGAACTAAGCTGAATAAGTCCATCAACTGAGTGGGTACTGGCTTCTGCAAGCCATTGTCTCGTCGGCGCAGGATACACTTAGAATTTACGCAGGAAATTACCTACCATTGGAATTGGCTTCGTCGACGACGATAATTGCTCTCAAAATGTCGCCATGCCGAGAGTTTAAACCTTATAGTTACGAGCGAGCTACTGCAAAAGGAAATGAAGCTTCCTAAACTCGTTTTAACGTCCTCTCGTTATTACGAATTAGCCACGACAACAGCGCGTGTCGGGGGAAGACTGAAAATCTCAAGCTCACTAAGAATGTGCCACTAGGAAATTGAAGCGTGTCCGCTGTTGCGATACTTCGCTCGCTTCGCAACTTTCGCTAAGCCATGCAATCACTTAACCGGCACGCGTGGCTCTAAGCCAACAACCGGAGCGCCAAACGTCGAAATAAGTAGCGGCGCATTTGCTATGGTCACAGCCTCACAGGTAAGGCACGCCATAGCACTATTTGCCTGACGGATATAGTGATGCTCGCCGAATAATTTACCTGGCAATTGAAAGAGACCAATGATAATGTCTCAACTCCTCACCAGTACGGTTCAGTAGGATTCCACACGGTAAAGATGCCATAGCACTGTTCATCGCTTTGAACCCAGATGCACCGTGCAGATCAGGACCAAGCCGTGGGGTCCATGGTGGGGGTGGGCGGTTGGGATGTAAGATTCTCCACAGAAGTCCTCGAATTTAGCTCCGAACTGGAGGACCACTATGATCGAATAAAATTTTACTGTGACCCAAGAAAATAGGCTTCCCAAAATTTTTGAGAAGTAATTTTATTCAAATCTCAACCACATGACCGTGTGGAAGAGAAACGCTCGGAACGAGCGCTTCCACCCCCAAAACGCGGAAGGATCTGCACATGTGCAGGAAGTGCAGCAGGCGCTCTTCATTCGCGAGCGCCGATAATTGAAGGTGCTCGCAACCCTCCCACGCCCTTGCTGGCTTGGTAATAGGCCCAGAAAAGCAAGTGCAGCCACATGACCCGGCGAAATTTAAAAGCTTGGAACGAGCGCTTCCACCCCCAAAACGCGGAAGGATCTGCACATGTGCAGAATGAAGAGAATGAAGAGCGCCTGTTGCAATTCCTCCATATGTGCAGATCCTAGCGCGTCTTCAGGCTAGAAGAGCTCGCCATGAGCGATTTTCCTCCACCAGGTCACGTGGCTGCGCTTGTCTGGTCCTATTGCCAAGCTAGCAAGGGCATGATGGGTTGCGAGCATCATTGGTCATCGGCGCTTGAGAATGAAGAGCGCCCGCTGCACTTCGTGCACATGTGCGGATCCTAGTGTGAGGCTAGAAGCGCTCGCAATAAGCACTTTTCTTCCACCGGGTCACATGGCTGCACTTTTCTGAGCCTATTGCCAAGCCAGCAAGGGCATGGAAGGGTTGCGAGCATCATTGGTCATCGGCGCTTGAGAATGAAGAGCGCCCGCCGCACTTCCTCCACATGTGCGGATCCTAGCGCGTTTTGAGGCTAGAAGCACTCGTTCTGAGCGCTTTTTCTTCCACCGGGTCACCTGGCTGCGCTTTTCTGGGCCTATGCCAAGCCAGCAAGGGCGTGGAAGGGTTGCAAGCATCATTGGTCATCGGCCCTTGAGAATGAAGAGCGCCCGCTGCACTTCCTGCACACGTGCGGATCCTAGCGCGTTTTGAGGCTACAAGCACTCGTTCCGGGCGTTTTTCTTCCACTGGGTCACGTGGCTGCGCTTGTCTGGGCCTATTGCCAAGCCAGCAAGGGCGTAGAAGGGTTGCGAGCATCATTGGTCATCGGCCCTTGAGAATGAAGAGCGCCCGCAGCACTTCCTCCACATGTGCAGATCCTAGCGCGTTTTGAGGCTAAAAGCGCTCGCAGTGAGCGTTTTTCTTCCACCAGGTAACGTGGCTGCGCTTTTCTAGGCCTCTTGCCAAGCCAGCAAGGGCGTGGAAGGGTTGCGAGCATCATTGGTCATCAGCCCTTGAGAATGAAGAGCGCCCGCTGCACTTCCTCCACATGTGCGGATCCTAGCGCGTTTTGAGGCTAGAAACGCTCGCAGTGAGCGTTTTTCTTCTACCAGGTCATGTGGCTGCGCTTGTCTATGCCTCTTGCCAAGCCAGCAAGGGCGTGGAAGGGTTGGGAGCATCATTGGTCATCGGCGCTTGAGAATGAAGAGCGCCCGCTGCACTTCCTGCACGTGTGCGGATCCTAGCACGTTTTGAGGCTAGAAGCGCTCGCAGTGAGCGTTTTTCTTCTACCAGGTCACGTGGCTGTGCTTGTCTAGGCCTCTTGCCAAGCCAGCAAGGGCGTGGAAGGGTTGCAAGCATCATTGGTCATCGGCCCTTGAGAATGAAGAGCGCCCGCTGCACTTCCTCCACATGTGCGGATCCTAGTGCGTTTTGAGGCTAGAAGCGCTCGTAGTGAGCGTTTTTCTTCTATCAGGTCACGTGGCTGCGCTTGTCTAGGCCTCTTGCCAAGCCAGCAAGGGCGTAGAAGGGTTGCGAGCATCATTGGTAATCGGCCCTTGAGAATGAAGAGCGCCCGCTGCACTTCCTCCACATCTGCAGATCCTAGCGCGTTTTGAGGCTAGAAGCGCTCGGAGTGAGCGATTTTCTTCCACCAGGTAATGTGGCTGCGGCTGCGCTTGTCTAGGCCTCTTGCCAAGCCAGCAAGGGCGTGGAAGGGTTGCGAGCATCATTGGTCATTGGCCCTTGAGAATGAAGAGCGCCCGCTGCACTTCCTGCACATGTGCGGATCCTAGCGCGTTTTGAGGCTAGAAGCGCTCGCTGTGAGCGTTTTTCTTCCACCAGGTCACGTGGCTGCGCTTGTATAGGCCTCTTGCCAAGCCAGCAAGGGCGTGGAAGGGTTGCGAGCATCATTGGTCATCGGCCCTTGAGAATGAAGAGTGCCCGCTGCACTTCCTCCACATGTGCGGATCCTAGCGCGTTCTGAGGCTAGAAGCGCTCGTTCTGAGCGTTTTTCTTCTACCAGGTCATGTGGCTGCGCTTGTCTATGCCTCTTGCCAAGCCAGCAAGGGCGTGGAAGGGTTGCGAGCATCATTGGTCATCGGCGCTTGAGAATGAAGAGCGCCCGCTGCACTTCCTGCACGTGTGCGGATCCTAGCGCGTTTTGAGGCTGGAAGCGCTCGCAGTGAGCGTTTTTCTTCTACCAGGTCACGTGGCTGTGCTTGTCTAGGCCTCTTGCCAAGCCAGCAAGGGCGTGGAAGGGTTGCGAGCATCATTGGTCATCGGCCCTTGAGAATGAAGAGCGCCCGCTGCACTTCCTCCACATGTGCGGATCCTAGTGCGTTTTGAGGCTAGAAGCGCTCGTAGTGAGCGTTTTTCTTCTACCAGGCCACGTGGCTGCGCTTGTCTAGGCCTCTTGCCAAGCCAGCAAGGGCGTAGAAGGGTTGCGAGCATCATTGGTAATCGGCCCTTGAGAATGAAGAGCGCCCGCTGCACTTCCTCCATATCTACAGATCCAAGCGCGTTTTGAGGCTAGAAGCGCTCGCAGTGAGCGATTTTCTTCTACCAGGTCACGTGGCTGCGCTTGCCGCGCTTGTCTAGGCCTCTTGCCAAGCCAGCAAGGGCGTGGAAGGGTTGCGAGCATCATTGGTCATTGGCCCTTGAGAATGAAGAGCGCCCGCTGCACTTCCTGCACATGTGCGGATCCTAGCGCGTTTTGAGGCTAGAAGCGCTCGCTGTGAGCGTTTTTCTTCCACCAGGTCACGTGGCTGCGCTTGTATAGGCCTCTTGCCAAGCCAGCAAGGGCGTGGAAGGGTTGCGAGCATCATTGGTCATCAGCCCTTGAGAATGAAGAGCGCCCGCTGCACTTCCTCCACATGTGCGGATCCTAGCGCGTTCTGAGGCTAGAAGCGCTCGTTCTGAGCGTTTTTCTTCTACCAGGTCATGTGGCTGCGCTTGTCTATGCCTCTTGCCAAGCCAGCAAGGGCGTGGAAGGGTTGCGAGCATCATTGGTCATCGGCGCTTGAGAATGAAGAGCGCCCGCTGCACTTCCTGCACGTGTGCGGATCCTAGCACGTTTTGAGGCTAGAAGCGCTCGCAGTGAGCGTTTTTCTTCTACCAGGTCACGTGGCTGTGCTTGTCTAGGCCTCTTGCCAAGCCAGCAAGGGCGTGGAAGGGTTGCGAGCATCATTGGTCATCGGCCCTTGAGAATGAAGAGCGCCCGCTGCACTTCCTCCACATGTGCGGATCCTAGTGCGTTTGTAATGAGCGTATTTCTTCTATCAGGTCACGTGGCTGCGCTTGTCTAGGCCTCTTGCTAAGCCAGCAAGGGCGTAGAAGGGTTGCGAGCATCATTGGTCATCGGCCCTTCAGAATGAAGAGCGCCCGCTGCACTTCCTCCATATGTGCGGATCCTAGCGCGTTTTGAGGCTAGAAGCGCTCGTAGTGAGCGTTTTTCTTCCACCAGGTAACGTGGCTGTGGCTGCGCTTGTCTAGGCCTCTTCCCAAGCCAGCAAGGGCGTGGAAGGGTTGCGAGCATCATTGGTTATCGGCCCTTGAGAATGAAGAGCGCCCGCTGCACTTCCTCCACATGTGCGGATCCTAGCGCGTTTTGAGGCTAGAAGCGCTCGTTCTGAGCGATTTTCTTCTACCAGGTCATGTGGCTGCGCTTGTCTAGGCCTCTAGCCAAGCCAGCAAGGGCGTGGAAGGGTTGCGAGCATCATTGGTCATTGGCCCTTGAGAATGAAGAGCGCCCACTGCACTTCCTGCACATGTGCGGATCCTAGCGCGTTCTGAGGCTAGAAGCGCTCGCAGTGAGCGTTTTTCTTCCACCAGGTCACGTGGCTGCGCTTGTATAGGCCTCTTGCCAAGCCAGCAAGGGCGTGGAAGGGTTTCGAGCATCATTGGTCATCGGCCTTTGAGAATGAAGAGCGCCCGCTGCACTTCCTCCACATGTGCGGATCCTAGCGCGTTCTGAGGCTAGAAGCGCTCGTTCTGAGTGTTTTTCTTCTACCAGGTCACGTGGCTGCGCTTGTCTATGCCTCTTGCCAAGCCAGCAAGGGCGTGGAAGGGTTGCGAGCATCATTGGTCATCGGCGCTTGAGAATGAAGAGCGCCCGCTGCACTTCCTGCACGTGTGCGGATCCTAGCACGTTTTGAGGCTAGAAGCGCTCGCAGTGAGCGTTTTTCTTCTACCAGGTCACGTGGCTGTGCTTGTCTAGGCCTCTTGCCAAGCCAGCAAGGGCGTGGAAGGGTTGCGAGCATCATTGGTCATCGGCCCTTGAGAATGAAGAGCGCCCGCTGCACTTCCTCCACATGTACGGATCCTAGCGCGTTTTGAGGCTAGAAGCGCTCGTAGTGAGCGTTTTTCTTCTACCAGGTCACGTGGCTGTGCTTGTCTAGGCCTCTTGCCAAGCCAGCAAGGGCGTAGAAGGGTTGCGAGCATCATTGGTAATCGGCCCTTGAGAATGAAGAGCGCCCGCTGCACTTCCTCCATATCTACAGATCCAAGCGCGTTTTGAGGCTAGAAGCGCTCGCAGTGAGCGATTTTCTTCTACCAGGTCACGTGGCTGCGCTTGCCGCGCTTGTCTAGGCCTCTTGCCAAGCCAGCAAGGGCGTGGAAGGGTTGCGAGCATCATTGGTCATCGGCCCTTGAGAATGAAGAGCGCCCGCTGCACTTCCTCCACATGTGCGGATCCTAGCGCGTTCTGAGGCTAGAAGCGCTCGTTCTGAGCGTTTTTCTTCTACCAGGTCATGTGGCTGCGCTTGTCTATGCCTCTTGCCAAGCCAGCAAGGGCGTGGAAGGGTTGCGAGCATCATTGGTCATCGGCGCTTGAGAATGAGGAGCGCCCGCTGCACTTCCTGCACGTGTGCGGATCCTAGCGCGTTCTGAGGCTAGAAGCGCTCGCAGTGAGCGTTTTTCTTCTACCAGGTCATGTGGCTGTGCTTGTCTAGGCCTCTTGCCAAGCCAGCAAGGGCGTGGAAGGGTTGCGAGCATCATTGGTCATCGGCCCTTGAGAATGAAGAGCGCCCGCTGCACTTCCTCCACATGTGCGGATCCTAGTGCGTTTTGAGGCTAGAAGCGCTCGTAGTGAGCGTTTTTCTTCTACCAGGTCACGTGGCTGTGCTTGTCTAGGCCTCTTGCCAAGCCAGCAAGGGCGTAGAAGGGTTGCGAGCATCATTGGTCATCAGCCCTTGAGAATGAAGAGCGCCCGCTGCACTTCCTCCATATCTGCAGATCCTAGCGCGTTTTGAGGCTAGAAGCGCTCGCAGTGAGCGATTTTCTTCCACCATGTAACGTGGCTGCGGCTGCGCTTGTCTAGGCCTCTTGCCAAGCCAGCAAGGGCGTGGAAGGGTTGCGAGCATCATTGGTCATCGGCCCTTGAGAATGAAGAGCGCCCGCTGCACTTCCTCCACATGTGCGGATCCTAGTGCGTTTTGAGGCTAGAAGCGCTCGTAGTGAGCGTTTTTCTTCTACCAGGTCACGTGGCTGTGCTTGTCTAGGCCTCTTGCCAAGCCAGCAAGGGCGTAGAAGGGTTGCGAGCATCATTGGTCATCAGCCCTTGAGAATGAAGAGCGCCCGCTGCACTTCCTCCATATCTGCAGATCCTAGCGCGTTTTGAGGCTAGAAGCGCTCGCAGTGAGCGATTTTCTTCCACCATGTAACGTGGCTGCGGCTGCGCTTGTCTAGGCCTCTTGCCAAGCCAGCAAGGGCGTGGAAGGGTTGCGAGCATCATTGGTCATCGGCCCTTGAGAATGAAGAGCGCCCGCTGCACTTCCTCCACATGTGCGGATCCTAGTGCGTTTTGAGGCTAGAAGCGCTCGTAGTGAGCGTTTTTCTTCTATCAGGTCACGTGGCTGCGCTTGTCTAGGCCTCTTGCCAAGCTAGCAAGGGCGTGGAAGTGTTGCGAGCATCATTGGTTATCGGCCCTTGAGAATGAAGAGCGACCGCTGCACTTCCTCCACATGTGCGGATCCTAGCTCGTTTCGATGCTAGATTCACTCGCAGTGATCGTTTTTCTTCTACCAGGTCACGGGGTTGCACTTGTCTAGGCCTCTTGCTAAGCCAGCAAGGGCGTGGAAGGGTTGCGAGCATCATTGGTCATCGGCCCTTGAGAATGAAGAGTGCCCGCTGCACTTCCTGCACATGTGCGGATCTTAGCACGTTTTGAGGCTAGAAGCGCTCGCAATGAGCGTTTTTCTTCCACCAAGTCACGTGGCTGTGCTTGTCTAGGCCTCTTGCCAAGCCAGCAAGAGCGTGGAAGGGTTGCGAGCATCATTGGTCATCAGCCCTTGAGAATGAAGAGCGCCCGCCGCACTTCCTCCACATGTGCGGATCCTTGCGCGTTTTGAGGCTAGAAGCGCTCGTAGTGAGCGTTTTTCTTCCACCAAGTCACGTGGCTGCGCTTGTCTAGGCCTCTTGCCAAGCCAGCAAGGGCGTGGAAGGGTTGCGAGCATCATTGGTCATCTGCCCTTGAGAATGAAGAGCGCCCGCTGCACTTCCTCCACATGTGCGGATCCTAGCGCGTTCTGAGGCTAGAAGCGCTCGTTCTGAGCGTTTTTCTTCTACCAGGTCATGTGGCTGCGCTTGTCTATGCCTCTTGCCAAGCCAGCAAGGGCGTGGAAGGGTTGCGAGCATCATTGGTCATCGGCGCTTGAGAATGAAGAGCGCCCGCTGCACTTCCTGCACGTGTGCGGATCCTAGCACGTTTTGAGGCTAGAAGCGCTCGCAGTGAGCGTTTTTCTTCTACCAGGTCACGTGGCTGTGCTTGTCTAGGCCTCTTGCCAAGCCAGCAAGGGCGTGGAAGGGTTGCGAGCATCATTGGTCATCGGCCCTTGAGAATGAAGAGCGCCCGCTGCACTTCCTCCACATGTGCGGATCCTAGTGCGTTTTGAGGCTAGAAGCGCTCGTAGTGAGCGTTTTTCTTCTATCAGGTCACGTGGCTGCGCTTGTCTAGGCCTCTTGCCAAGCCAGCAAGGGCGTAGAAGGGTTGCGAGCATCATTGGTCATCGGCCCTTGAGAATGAAGAGCGCCCACTGCACTTCCTCCACATGTGCAGATCCTAGCACGTTTTGAGGCTAGATTCACTCGCAGTGATCGTTTTTCTTCTACCAGGTCACGAAGTTGCACTTGTCTAGGCCTCTTGCTAAGCCAGCAAGGGCGTGGAAGGGTTGCGAGCATCATTGGTCATCGGCCCTTGAGAATGAAGAGTGCCCGCTGCACTTCCTGCACATGTGCGGATCTTAGCACGTTTTGAGGCTAGAAGCGCTCGCAATGAGCGTTTTTCTTCCACCAAGTCACGTGGCTGTGCTTGTCTAGGCCTCTTGCCAAGCCAGCAAGAGCGTGGAAGGGTTGCGAGCATCATTGGTCATCAGCCCTTGAGAATGAAGAGCGCCCGCCGCACTTCCTCCACATGTGCGGATCCTTGCGCGTTTTGAGGCTAGAAGCGCTCGTAGTGAGCGTTTTTCTTCCACCAAGTCACGTGGCTGCGCTTGTCTAGGCCTCTTGCCAAGCCAGCAAGGGCGTGGAAGGGTTGCGAGCATCATTGGTCATCTGCCCTTGAGAATGAAGAGCGCCCGCTGCACTTCCTCCACATGTGCGGATCCTAGCGCGTTCTGAGGCTAGAAGCGCTCGTTCTGAGCGTTTTTCTTCTACCAGGTCATGTGGCTGCGCTTGTCTATGCCTCTTGCCAAGCCAGCAAGGGCGTGGAAGGGTTGCGAGCATCATTGGTCATCGGCGCTTGAGAATGAAGAGCGCCCGCTGCACTTCCTGCACGTGTGCGGATCCTAGCGCGTTTTGAGGCTGGAAGCGCTCGCAGTGAGCGTTTTTCTTCTACCAGGTCACGTGGCTGCGCTTGCCTAGGCCTCTTGCCAAGCCAGCAAGGGCGTGGAAGGGTTGCGAGCATCATTGGTCATCGGCCCTTGAGAATGAAGAGCGCCCGCTGCACTTCCTCCACATGTGCGGATCCTAGTGCGTTTTGAGGCTAGAAGCGCTCGTAGTGAGCGTTTTTCTTCTACCAGGCCACGTGGCTGCGCTTGTCTAGGCCTCTTGCCAAGCCAGCAAGGGCGTAGAAGGGTTGCGAGCATCATTGGTAATCGGCCCTTGAGAATGAAGAGCGCCCGCTGCACTTCCTCCATATCTACAGATCCAAGCGCGTTTTGAGGCTAGAAGCGCTCGCAGTGAGCGATTTTCTTTCACCAGGTAACGTGGCTGCGGCTGCGCTTGTCTAGGCCTCTTGCCAAGCCAGCAAGGGCGTGGAAGGGTTGCGAGCATCATTGGTCATTGGCCCTTGAGAATGAAGAGCGCCCGCTGCACTTCCTGCACATGTGCGGATCCTAGCGCGTTTTGAGGCTAGAAGCGCTCGCTGTGAGCGTTTTTCTTCCACCAGGTCACGTGGCTGCGCTTGTATAGGCCTCTTGCCAAGCCAGCAAGGGCGTGGAAGGGTTGCGAGCATGATTGGTCATCGGCCCTTGAGAATGAAGAGCGCCCGCTGCACTTCCTCCACATGTGCGGATCCTAGCGCGTTCTGAGGCTAGAAGCGCTCGTTCTGAGCGTTTTTCTTCTACCAGGTCATGTGGCTGCGCTTGTCTATGCCTCTTGCCAAGCCAGCAAGGGCGTGGAAGGGTTGCGAGCATCATTGGTCATCGGCCCTTGAGAATGAAGAGCGCCCGCTGTACTTTTTGCACACGTGCGGATTGGCACCGAGACGCGAAAACAGCCGAACCGGTACAGGTCATGGAGCCGGCAATTTTCCGTCGTGGAGCTCAATGACCAATCATTCTCGGTTCACTCCCTGGCACTTTCCAGCATAATCGCAGGTCCGTAAACTCACGAATGACGTCTTCACGTTGAAGAAAAACGCTCGTTTCGGACGCGAAAACAGCCGCACTAGTACAGGTCATGAAGCCGGCAATTTTCCGTCGTGGAGCTCAATGACCAATCATTCTCGGTTCACTCCCTGGCACTTTCCAGCATAATCGAAGGTCCGTGAACTCACGATTGACGTCTTAACGTTGAAGAAAACGCTCGTTTCAGGCGTTTGTAGCCCCGAGACGCGAAAACAGCCGAACCGGTACAGGTCATGGAGCCGGCAATTTTCCGTCGTGGAGCTCAATGACCAATCATTCTCAGTTCACACCCTAGCACTTTCCAGTATAATCGCAGGTCCGTAAACTCACGAATGACGTCTTCACATTGAAGAAAAACGCTCGTTTCGGGCGTTTGTGGCCCCGAGACGCGAAAACAGCCGCACCGATACAGGTCATGGAGCCGGCAATTTTCCGTCGTGGAGCTCAATGACCAATCATTCTCGGTTCACTCCCTAGCACTTTCCAGCATAATCGCAGGTCCGTAAACTCACGAATGACGTCTTCACGTTGAAGTAAAACGCTCGTTTCGGGCGTTTGTGGCCCCGAGACGCGAAAACAGCCGACCTGGTACATGTCATGGAGCAGGCAATTTTCCGTCGTAGAGCTCCATGACCAATCATTCTCGGTTCACTCCCTGGCACTTTCCAGCATAATTGCAGGTCCGTAAACTCACGAATGACGTCTTCATGTTGGAAAATACGTTTTTTTTGGACGTTTGTAGTCTCGAGACGCGAAAATAGCCGCACCAGTATAGGACATGGAGCCGGCAATTTTCCAGGGTTGGAGCTCAATGACCAATCATTCTCGGTTCACTCCCTGGCACTTTCCAGCATAATTGCAGGTCCGTAAACTCACGAATGACGTCTTCACGTTGAAGAAAAACGCTCGTTTCAGGCGTTTGTAGCCCCGAGACGCGAAAACAGCCGCACCGGTACAGGTCATGGAGCCGGCAATTTTCACACGTGGAGCTCAATGACCAATCATTCTTGGTTCACTCCCTGGCACTTTCCAGCATAATTGAAGTTCCGTAAACTCACGAATGACGTCTTCACGTTGAAGAAAAACGCTCGTTTCGGGCGTTTGTGGCCCCGAGACGCGAAAACAGCCGAACCGGTACAGGTCATGGAGCCGGCAATTTTCCGTCGTGGAGCTCAATGACCAATCATTCTTGGTTCACTCCCTGGCACTTTCCAGCATAATCGCAGGTCCGTAAACTCACGAATGACGTCTTCATGTTGAAGAAAAACGCTCGTTTCGGGCGTTTGTGGCCCCGAGACGCGAAAACAGCCGCACCGGTACAGGTCATGGAGCAGGCAATTTTCCGTCGTGGAGCTCAATGACCAATCATTCTCGGTTCACTCCCTGGCACTTTCCAGCATCCCAGGTTTGTAAACTTACGAATGACGTCTTCTTGTTGAAGAAAAACGCTGGTTTCGGGCGTTTGTAGCCCCGTGACGCGAAAACAGCCGCACTGGTACAGGTCATGGAGCAGGCAATTTTCCGTCGTGGAGCTCAATGACCAATCATTCTCGGTTCACTCCCTGGCACTTTCCAGCATAATCGCAGGTCCGTAAACTCACGAATGACGTCTTCACGTTGAAGTAAAACGCTCGTTTCGGGCGTTTGTGGCCCCGAGATGTGAAAACAGCCGCACTGGCACAGGTCATGGAGCCGGCAATTGTCCGTCGTGGAGCTCAACGACCAATCATTCTCGGTTCACTCCCTGGCACTTTCCAGCATAATCGCAGGTCCGTAAACTCACGAATGACGTCTTCATGTTGAAGAAAAACGCTCGTTTCGGGCGTTTGTGGCCCCGAGACGCGAAAACAGCCGCACTGGTACAGGTCATGGAGCCGGCAATTTTCCGTCGTGGAGCTCAATGACCAATCATTCTCGGTTCACTCCCTGGCACTTTCTAGCATAATCGCAGATCCGTAAACTCACGAATGACACCTTCATGTTGAAGAAAAACGCTAGTTTCGGGCGTTTGTGGCCCCGAGACGCGAAAACAGCCGAACCGGTACAGGTCATGGAGCCGGCAATTTTCCGTCGTGGAGCTCAATGACCAATCATTCTCGGTTCACTCCCTGGCACTTTCCAGCATAATCGGAGGTCCGTAAACTCACGAATGACGTCTTCACGTTGAAGAAAAACGCTCGTTTTGGGCGTTTGTGGCCCCGAGACGCGAAAACAGCCGCACTGGTACAGGTCATGGAGCCGGCAATTTTCCGTCGTGGAGCTCAATGACCAATCATTCTCGGTTCACTCCCTGGCACTTTCTAGCATAATCGGAGGTCCGTAAACTCACGAATGACACCTTCATGTTGAAGAAAATCGCTCGTTTCGGGCGTTTGTGGCCCCGAGACGCGAAAACAGCCGCACTGGTACAGGTCATGGAGCCGGCAATTTTCCGTCGTGGAGCTCAATGACCAATCATTCTCGGTTCACTCCCTGGCACTTTCCAGCATAATTGCAGGTCCGTAAACTCACGAATGACGTCTTCACGTTGAAAAATTCGCTCGTTTCGGGCGTTTGTAGCCCCGAGACGCGAAAACAGCCGCACCAGTACAGGACATGGAGCCGACAATTTTCCAGGGTTGGAGCTCAATGACCAATCATTCTTGGTTCACTCCCTGGCACTTTCCAGCATAATCGCAGGTCCGTAAACTCACGAATGACGTCTTCACGTTGAAGTAAAACGCTCGTTTCGGGCGTTTGTAGCCCCGAGACGCGAAAACAGCCGCACCGGTATAGGTCTTGGAGCCGGCAATTTTCCGTCGTGGAGCTCAATGACCAATCATTCTCGGTTCACTCCCTGGCACTTTCCAGCATAATCGCAGGTCCGTAAACTCACGAATGACGTCTTCATGTTGAAGTAAAAAGCTCGTTTCGGGCGTTTGTGGCCCCGAGACGCGAAAACAGCCGCACTGGTAACGGCCGTGGAGCCGACAATTTTCCGTCGTGGAGCTCAATGACCAATCATTCTTGGTTCACTCCCTGGCACTTTCCAGCATAATTGCAGGTCCGTAAACTCACGAATGACGTCTTCACGTTGAAGTAAAATTTGCTCATTTCGGACGTTTGTAGCCCCGAGACGCGAAAACAGCCGCACTGGTACATGACATGGAGCCGGCAATTTTCCAGGGTTGGAGCTCAATGACCAATCATTCTCGGTTCACTCCCTGGCACTTTCCAGCATAATCGCAGGTCCGTAAACTCACGAATGACGTCTTCACGTTGAAGTAAAACGCTCGTTTCGGGCGTTTGTAGCCCCGAGACGCGAAAACAGCCGCACCGGTACAGGTCATGGAGCCGGCAATTTTCCGTCGTGGAGCTCAATGACCAATCATTCTCGGTTCACTCCCTGGCACTTTCCAGCATAATCGCAGGTCCGTAAACTCACGAATGACGTCTTCACGTTGAAGTAAAACGCTCGTTTCGGGCGTTTGTGGCCCCGAGACGCGAAAACAGCCGAACCGGTACAGGTCATGGAGCCGGCAATTTTCCGTCGTGGAGCTCAATGACCAATCATTCTCGGTTCACTCCCTAGCACTTTCCAGCATAATCGCAGGTCCGTAAACTCACGAATGACGTCTTCACATTGAAGAAAAACGCTCGTTTCGGGCGTTTGTGGCCCCGAGACGCGAAAACAGCCGCACCGATACAGGTCATGGAGCCGGCAATTTTCCGTCGTGGAGCTCAATGACCAATCATTCTCGGTTCACTCCCTGGCACTTTCCAGCATAATCGGAGGTCCGTAAACTCACGAATGACGTCTTCACGTTGAAGTAAAACGCTCGTTTCGGGCGTTTGTGGCCCCGAGACGCGAAAACAGCCGCACCAGTACAGGTCATGGAGCCGGCAATTTTCCGTCGTGGAGCTCAATGACCAATCATTCTCGGTTCACTCCCTGGCACTTTCCAGCATAATTGCAGGTCCGTAAACTCACGAATGACACCTTCATGTTGGAAAATTCGCTCGTTTCGGACGTTTGTAGTCTCGAGACGCGAAAATAGCCGCACCAGTATAGGACATGGAGCCGGCAATTTTCCAGGGTTGGAGCTCAATGACCAATCATTCTCGGTTCACTCCCTGGCACTTTCCAGCATAATCGCATGCCCGTAAACTCACGAATGGCGTCTTCACGTTGAAGTGAAACGCTCGTTTCGGGCGTTTGTAGCCCCGAGACGCGAAAACAGCCGCACCGGTACAGATCTTGGAGCCGGCAATTTTCCGTCGTGGAGTTTGTCAAACATTATATGTTTATATGGTTGTAGGCTGTAGTGGGTTACGCCTTAGGGGGTACACTGGATTAGGGTTTCCTATTTGTATCCAGCCTTCTGTTAGTACAGTCATTCCAGTCTGTTATTTTGACATGGTTTCAGAGCAGGTCCTTCTCTAGGACCGTTCCTAAGGGCCCACCGTTCGCTACCTAACTACCTACCTACTACCGGAGCGCGTTCTTAGCGCCTCCCCCGTAGCGCCCTCGAGCGCTTCATTATTTTTATTCGGCCTATCCGGCTGGCCCCGTCGATCGAGCCCCGTCTAGAGGCCCCGCGGCCCCGTCGCATTTGACCTAGAGGCCCCTCACGGCCCCGTCGCGCCGCCCCTTAGCGCCTCGAACGACCCCGCCGCTCGCCCCTTAGCGGCCCCGTCGGCCTTGCGATCGCCCCTAACGGCCCGCGCACCGCCCGCTACCGGCCCGCGCACCGCGCACGCAGCCCGCATTTTACCCCCGCGGCCTGCGTGCTGCCCGCTGCCGGCCCCGTCGCACTGCCCGCGCACTGCTCGCACGCCTTTGCGTCGCTAGCGCACAGCCCGCCGCGGCCCCGCCGGCCCGCGATTTGCACCGCTGCAGCTGCCGCCCGCCGGTCCCCCGCTGCTGCTGCCGCTGCTGCCCGCGAGTCGCCCGCTGCCGCTCCCGCGTTTCTGCCGTGCCCGCAGCCGCTGCCGCCGCTACTACCGCCCGTGCACTGCTGCTGCTGCTGCTGCCGTGCTCGCTGCCGCCGCCGCAGCCACTGCCGTGCGCCGCTACTGCCCGTCGCCTGCTCGCGCACGCCCCGCAGCCGCCCGTCGCCTGCTCGCGCACGCCCTGCAGGCCCGCAGCCCGCCGTCGCAGCGGCCGCCCGCCCGCAGCCGCCCGTCGTCTGCTCGCGCACGCCCCGCTGCCGCAGCTGCTTGCACGCCGCTGCTTCCGCTGCTGCTTGCGCACTGCTGCCCCTACGCTGCCGCTGCCCGTGCGCCGCCATTGCCCGTGCGCCACCGTTCCCCGTGCGCCACTGCCGCCCGTGCGCTTCTGCAGCCGCCGCCCGCGAGGCACTCGCTCTCACTGCTGCTTATTTACTACCTACCGCGCACACTGCTACCACTGCAGCTACCACCAGTGCGCCGTTGCAGCTCCTGCTGCCACGCTACCTACTATTGCCGCTCGTGTGCCACTACGGACAGTCGACCCCGCCTGCGCCTTACCTAGCGGCCCCGCCGGCCCCGTTGACCCTCCGCACACCTTTCCAGCGGCCTGCTTCCTACTACTACTGCTACTGCTACTGTCGCTATGGCTAGTCCTCCCGTTCTAGCTTTCGATGCCGAGGGCCGTCCGGTGAAGTTCGAAACCTGGCTAGATGACCTACACCTGTTCCTACAGCTCACTGCCAAGGAAGATATCTCACTGTACGACCACGCCCTAGGCCATGCCACTGCCCCTGACTCGACTGCTGACAGCACTCTGCGTTCCCAGTGGCAGACCCGTGATGCGCATGCTCGCTTTGCTATTCGCAACTCCCTGCCGCTAGACGAGCGCGAGCACTTCGGCCAGTGCAAGACTGCTAAGGACCTCTACACCGCTGTAGTTGCCCGCTACTCCTCACCCGCTTCTGCCACGCTAGGCCGCCTCACTCTCCCCTACCTGTTCCCCGACCTAGCCTCCTTTCACACTGTCGCAGACCTCATCACCCACCTTAAGACTAGTGAGGCCCGCTTTCGCGCTGCTATGCCTGCCGAGTTTCTCACTAGCAACCCCCCCCCACTCTGGATCACTCTCTACCACATCGTCACCCGCCTCCCTGACTCTCTGCGCGCAGTCAGGGACCACTTCCTCTCTCGCTCCCCCACTGAGCTCACTGTTGCCCTCCTCGAGAAGGAACTGCTTGCAGCTGAGGCGAGCATCGTCGCTGTAGGCACCTCTCGTGGCGACCCCCGCACCCCGTTCTTTGAGGGGTGTTCCCCTTCCCCCCTCCTCCCCTCTGTCGCCTCTGCTGCTGCTGTCGACCTTCTTGGTGCTGAGAAGGTCGGGACCGCGTCTGCTTCGAGCGGGCGCCGCAGGAACAAGGGGGGCAGGGGTGGGGGTGGTGGCGGAGGAGGTGGGGGTGGAGGCGGTGGGAGTGGAGGCGCGGCTGGGGAGACTAGTGGCGGCAGTGGGGGAGGAGACAGCAGCGGTGGGAGTGGTGGTGGAGGCGGCAGCGGAGGCGGAGGTGGTCGTGGCGGCGGCAGGGGTGGAGGTGGCCGGGGCGGCGGCGGTGGGGGTGGTGGTCGTGGAGGCACTGGCGGAGGGCAGAGTCAGCAGCCCGCCCCGACGCTTCAGGCCGCCCGTGAGTGGTATGCGCAGCGTAGCGTTATCTGCACGTACGTCATTCGCACAGGTGACCGCAGCGGCCAGCAGTGTGGGAGGCCGCACCCCACGCAGCGCTGCTTCGCGCGCCTTAACGACGCGTGGCGCACTCAGTTTCCTGCTGCCACTGAGCTGCCGCGCTGGGCTGATCTGGAAAAGAGGGGTGTTGATATTTGGGCTTTAGACTTTGATGCTATTCTCACTGCCATGTATGCGATGTCTATTAGTGGAGAGGGTGCTCAGTACTTGCGTGTTCCGCCCGACCCGGGCATTCAGGCCAGTCCGGCTGCCGCTCTAGGTGCTAGTGCGTCTGCTCCCACAGGTCCTGGTGAGGCTGCTGCCCTAGGTGCTCGTGCGTCCGTCCCCCCTGGTACTGAGTCGACTGTAGCACTGCACACCTTCACACTGGACTCAGGTGCTTCTCGCTCCTTCTTTCGTGACCGCACTGTCCTTGAGCCACTAGCTCGGCCAGTTGCTGTCTCCCTTGCTGACCCCTCTGGGGGTCCGGTCATTGCGACCTCCTCCACTGTCCTTCCTTGTCCGGCGGTCCCGTCCGGCACGCTGTCAGGTCTCTACCTCCCCTCGTTCTCTACGAACTTGGTGGCAGGTAGTGCGCTCCAGGACGGGGGTGTTCACCAGTTCACCCCTGCCTACGAGCGCGTGACACACTGCACGTGTGCTCGGACGGGTCGCCACCTGGCTACCTTCACTCGGGAGCCGGGGTCGGACCTTTACACACTGACCACTGAGTCCCCTCAGGTAGCTGCGTCCGCGTCTGCGTCTGCGTCAGGTCAGCTGTCCGCCCCCTGCTCGTGTCGCTCTCTGGCGCATGAGACCGTCCTCTGGCACCACCGCCTTGGTCACCCGTCTGTGCAGCGCCTTCGGGCCATGCACAAACGGGACCTTGTTGCTGGTCTTCCCAGGGTGCTCCCTCCCCTTCCTGACTCGCCTGCTCCTCCCTGTATTCCCTGTGTCGAGGGACGGCAGCGCGCCGCTCCTCACTCCTCCTCCTTTCCCCCGACGACTGCTCCCTTGCAGACGCTCCACATGGACGTGTGGGGCCCAGCCCGCGTCCGTGGTCAGGGTCAGGAGAGGTACTTCCTGATTGTTGTTGACGACTTCTCGCGCTACACCACGGTCTTCCCCTTGCGCGCCAAGGGTGACGTCCCTGATGTCTTGATCCCTTGGATCCGCAGATCTCGTCTCCAGCTCCGTGAGCGTTTCCGC